ATGGATGGATGGATGGATAAAATTTTCCCTTTATTTGTGAGGTTTATTTTGATCTGGCTAGTGGGTGTTGTTTACAAAAAGTCTAATTATTGATCAGTGAACTTTGGTGAGCTCTTGTAGTCGTTTTCTGGAAAGCAGCTCTAAATATGTACCTGCATATTATGCTTCCAATGGTGTTTTACTTGAGAGAGAGAGAGAGGTAGTCCTATTTTTTGACTCCTGGTTTTTCTGAATTTTCTGCATCATGCTTACACTGTTGGAAGGTACATTTCAAGTGAATCCTTCAGTTCTATTTTCAAATGTTAGTTCAGCTACTCGACTAGCTTGCTGTGGCTGCTCTGTGCACACAGCCAGCTTATGTTAATGCTGGGATGAGCATTGCTCTGTGCTTTTAGGTGCATTTTATTTCCATAACTCATTACTAGTAGCCATTTTGTACTGTATAATGTTCGGAAGGGCTTGCAGGAGACAGAGGTAAGCATCAGTAGGGCCAAATCTCCCAGCTGTGCAGTAAGGGAAAGAGAGCACAACTTGCTTCATGGAACTCTAATTTATTCTAGCATTTGATGCTGCATCAGGGTCATGATCAGACAGCTTCCCATGCTGACATCTTTATTTAAAATCAGTGCATCATTGCACAGTGACCTATGAAATGAAAGAGCCTGATTAATTGACTGCATTTAATTCTCAATTTCTGGTGACAAGCTTAGCCAGGGCTTTGCAGTGTGGACTTCTAAAGGATTTTAGGTTCCCATATTAAAAGTTTTTAAATGAAGAGATTGGACAAAATAATCACTATATTTCTTTCCAGTCCTTTCATTCTGTGATTTTTCCTGGCACTACAGTGGCTAATACATGTTAATCAAGATGCACTTGTTCATACATTCATTGATGCATTTATGCATTTATCTGTCTATTTTACATTAGGCTTATTTTATACAACAGGGGCTATGTTAGTCGGAATCGACTCAATGGCAATGAGTGTTTTTTTTAAATGTACTTTAGATGAAGGTTTACAGAGCAAATTAGGTTCTCCCTAAATAGCCAATACACATACTGTTTTGTGACGTTGGTTGCCAACTCCACAACATGTCAACACTCCCCCCTTCTTGACCTTGGATTCCCCATTACCAGCTTTCCTGTCCCCTCCTGCCTTCTAGTTCTTGCCCCTGGGCTGGTGTGCTCATTTAGTCTTGTTTTGTTTTATGGGCCTGTCTAATCTTTGGCTGAAGGGTGAACCTCAGGAATGATTTCAGTACTGAGTTAAAAGGGTGTCCGGGGGCCATACTCTTGGGGTTTCCCCAGTCTCTGTCAGATTATTAAGTATGGTCCCTTTTTGTGAGTTAGAATTTTGTTCTACATTTTTCTGCAGCTCTGTCTGGGACCCTGTATTGTGATCCCTGTCAGAGCTGTTGGTGGTGGTAGCCGGGCACCAGGTAGTTGTGCTGGACTCAGTCTAGTGGAGGCTGTGGTAGTTGTGCTCCATTAGTCCTTTGGACTAATCTTTCCCTTGTGTCTTTGGTTTTCTTCATTCTCCCTTGCTCCGGATGGGATGGGACCAGTGGAATATCTTAGATGGCCACTCACCAGCTTTTAAGAACCCAGATGCTACTCAGCAAAATAGGACGTAGAACATTTTCTTTATAAACTATGTTATGCCAGTTGAGCTAGATGTCCACCGAGCCCATGGTCCCCAGCCCTCAGCCCAGTAATTCAGTCCCTCAGGTAGTTTGGATGTGTCTATGAAGCTTCCATGACCTTGCCTTGGTCAAGTTGTGCTGACTTCCCAGTATTGTGTACTGTCTTACTGTTGTTGTTGTTGTTTTTTTTAAATGGAGGGTACAGAAGAAATATTAAGGTCATTTTCTGTCTTCAGGAGCTCCTGGTCTACTTGGCAAAATAAATATGATCGCAACGCTATGAGTTGCGATCATCTTGATTGCAGTGGGTTTGTTTGTTTGTTTTTAAGTGTTAAATAAAACAAAATAATTATGATGATTTCCTTTTCTTTGGTCACTTTCTGGTTGTGGATTTTCTTCCTAACTTTTGATGATGTTCATACCTGGAAGAGTTTTCCATATATTGAAAGTTATATTCCAATGTGAATATGTGATCACTGGCAATGTCCTTAAAACTTTTTAGAAATACTTGTAATCATTGACTAGGCCAGGTAAGCAGACTTGTTTTACTCCATTTGTCATGGTTGCTGGGTTGGGAAAGGCATCACTTGAGCTGACATGAGCCAAATTGGCTTCATGCTGTTAGTATCCAAATTTCATGATACCATTATGGAATGGCTTGAAGAAACTACTTCTGGATGTTAATGGTGGTGTAGTGGTTATGAGCTCAGCTGCTAACCAAAAGGTCAGCAGTTCAAATCCACCAGCCACTTCTTGGAAACCCTATACAACAGTTCTACTCTGTCCTATAGGGTTACTGTGAGTCAGAATCGACTCGACAGCAGCTCACAATAACCACAAAAATGCATTTCTGTCTTTTTACTTCTCTTGAATAGAAGAGGGAGCACAAAGTCAAGGGAGGTTACTTCAGGATGTTGTGATTTGAAGTTGCTGTGTGATTTTAGGTGTGGTCCATGATAATGATGTTTAGGACCTATTCAGGAAATTTGAGGCCAGGTTCTCCAGAGGCCTGGCTTATTGTGTTGTTGAGCTTCTTGAGAAAGAAGCTATCATACATATATACCTCATAAGATTAAAAATGTTGCGAATCTTGTCTGTTGACCTTTTAATATATCCTTTTAGATGTCTTAAAATGGATTTCAGGATACAAAAATAAGACAGTTCTATCCCAAAGAATAGAAACTTTGTTTTCCAGGAGATAATATCAAAGAACTTTCCAGCAGAATTTTTTCTTTGTAACGAGGATTTCTTTTTGAAGCATCCCAAACTGAGATTATAATAGATTGCCATTTCTGGGCATAATTTTGCCCAGTGTAAGAACCTTGAGTCAGTATCCAGCTGTGGTCTGCTGCTCTGTCAGTGTCCGCCTGGTGCTGTCCTGGGGTGGAGCTGCCAGTGAATTGCAGACATTTAACAATCTTAGAGTTGTTTGTTCAGTGGGGAACCCTAATTCTTTGTGTACCCAGATCACACTTTGCAGATGAGCCTGATTTGGCTTTGTCATTAGGGTCAGATAACCTCAGAGACCAATGAGCTTGTAAATTGGGAGCATAAATCTTGCAGGAGCTGTTCATTAAGCTTTTCATTTATTTCTCCCCACTTCCAAAATCTGACCCTGCTAGTATTGCCAATCTCATTAGGATTTAGAGTGCGAAGGTTCTGCCTCTTAACCTCATGTAAATGACACCTTCCTGACATGCTGATTGGAGTTGTGAGATGTAAAAAGGCCCTTCTAGTGGGTTCATCTGGTTAGTGTAGGCCTGTAAGTAATTGAAGAAAGATCATTTAGATGCTGGTCCCTAAGCCTTGGTTTCCAAAGGAATGCATGGGTGTACGTATCAGGAGAGAGTGTTCGATGAAGAAGAGGTGTTCTGAATATTCACAAAACTTGTATTTAAATTTTTACCACTGCTCTTTTAGAATTAGAGAAATGTAGGAAGAGTGATCATAAGAATCTTATAAAGGAAAACTTGAGATGGGTAAAAATAATATGGTGTGTAATGCTCACCTTTTACTAACTCAGATTCATTGCCTGAAATATAAAATTTTTATTCCTGCAATAAGTTGCTTAATATCCATTATTAGTTAATGCCGTGGAAGCTCATACTATACCTTCGTGACCCCCTTCGGTTGTCTGTTTTTCCATTTGTAAATTCATAAAATTTAGTGTTAGTGGCTGTCATACCTGAGGTAACTAACTACCTTTTAGTTGCTTCCATTTTATTCAGGAAAAAAAGATGATTGCCAAATTAATAATATAGGTAATTATCTCGACAATCTTGTGATGGATTAGTAGTAAAAAAAAAAAAAAAAAAAAAATCTGCAAAGGCCACCTATATTTTTTTTTAATTTCTTATATTTATCTAATTATAAAAAGAAACCCTGGGGTTTTTTTTTGGTAGAAATTTTTGGAAACACACAGAGATGTATAAAGAAGAAAAGTAAAACCACCTTTAATTCTTTTATACAGAGACTACAATATTTTGTTTATTTTGTAGTTTTAATGAATATGTGTGCTATTATACACAAATACAGATACTGATTTAAATGCTTACTTTAAAAAGTTAACATCATCCTATATAGTTTTGTATACTCTTTTTTAAACTTAGTATTACAATGCCATTAATGCCCTGTGATAATCTACTGACATTAAAAGCAATCAATGTGATAAATGTGATTATACATAAATCTTTCTATGATAGGTAATTTCAGCAGTTCTAAGGCTTTTGATACAGATTGCCAAAATGCTTCCTCAAAATATCTGAACCAGTTTTTAATGTTAATTTTTTAATAATTCTCATTTATTCTATTCCCAAATATATTTTATAAAAATAAACAAAATGTTTTTCTATTTAATAGGGACAAAGAAGTACTAACATTCAACCTGCTGATACGTGAAATTTAGATTATAATGCATTTCATTTTTAAGAGCTAGAGGATGAATGTATTGAAGACTTTGTTGTTGGTGTGTACCGTCAAGTCAATTCCTACTTTCAGCAACCCTATAGGACAGAATAGAATTGCCCCATAGTGTTCCCTAGGCTGTAATGTTTATGGAAGCAGATTGCCAGGCCTTTTCTCCTGCAGAGCCATTGGTGGGTTTGAACAATTGACCTTTTGTTTAGCAGTGAAGCGCTTAACCACTGTGCTACCAGGTCTCCTTATTCAAAACTTAAAGACTATTATTTTCAATGTAAGAATTGTGGAAACAGTTGAATTTGTTAACATTTAAGGGGAAATTAACTATTTTGCCTGAAACCAACTCATCTGTGGGATATAAAACAACGAAGCTGTGTATAGAGATCTCAAGTAATGTTGACATTAATACCTAACATTTGCGTTATCTCTTTGTCTTCTTAGGACATACAGGCGGAAATTGATGCCCATAATGACATATTTAAAAGCATTGATGGAAACAGGCAGAAGATGGTAAAAGCTCTGGGAAATTCCGAAGAAGCTACTATGCTTCAACATCGACTAGATGATATGAACCAAAGATGGAATGACTTGAAAGCAAAATCTGCTAGCATCAGGTCAGAATAGTCAATAGCCTGAGTAAAATAATGTTTGGGGGAGGGGGTTGTGACTGTTGGATATCAGAAAGGAAAAAAAGATTTTTTAAATTATAGTTTTGGCAAGGAGCTCTGGTGGCGCAGTGGTAAAGCACTCGGCTGCTAACCAAAAGGTCAGCAATTCGAACTTGCCAGCCGCTCCGTGGGAGAAAGGTGTGGTAGTCTGCTCCTATAAAGATTTACAGCCTTGGAAACCCTGTGGGTCAGTTCTATTCTGCCTTATAGGATTGCTATGAATCGGAATCAACTCGACAGCAATAGGTGTCAGTAACAGTTTTAGTTCCATTTATGTACGGTGTATTCTTCCAACTGTTTCTGCCTATTCACAAATTTATCATATTATATTTTAAACCTAATAATGATGTTACCAACATCTGCTAGTTACTGAGCATTTACCCTGTTAGAATCTGTACGTACATTTCTTTATTTAGTACTCAGAAAATCTTAGTATCATGGAAGGTAAAATCCTTTTCTTACATGAGGAAAGAGGCTTAATGAACTTAAGAAACTTGCCAAGTTTTTGAGCTAATAAGGGCCAAGCCAGGAGTTGAATCCAGATCTTTTTGACTCTTGCCAATGAACATGTTTTGCTACATCATACTGTTTTATATCCAATTTGAAGATGTATGTACAGGAATTAAATCTCTCTTATGGATACTGAAATGGAAAAGTGATGATTCATGTCTGCGTTTGGAGAGAGTAAAGTGAAATAAGGATGAGCCTGAGGACCAGATGCTGACTGGTACAGGACCGTGAAAAATTACTTAGAGTGACAAAATGAGTATTGTTATTGTGGGTCATATTAAATGATGGTGAAAAGTTCCGTATTGAGTGTAACTTTAGGGGAAACTGACTAACAAACATGTTATTGAGCAAAGGTCCAAAAGAGGAATGGTGGTAGGAAGACCTAGGTCTTGTATCTATATAGGTCAGTTTCTCTTAATGTTCAGAAGCTGTTTGAAAAGTAAACAACCTTAAAATCAAACAGTCTTGAATTTGACTCTTTGACTTTCCTCTTTATTGTCTGATCTTGGGCAAGTTCCTTAACCTCTCTGAGTCTTAGTTTTCTCAATTGCAAGATCAGAATATAAATATTTAACCCACAGGATTGTTTTGTGAAGATTGAATGGCATAATTTGATAGTTTTTCAGCCTGTGGAAAGCTTGTTCAATGTACCATCCAGTTTAGTTTTTCATAATAAAAGGGCCTATTCAATCTATTTCTACTGGTTTCTGGATTTCATAGAAGTAATGCTAAAGGGGTCCTGAGATGGTATAAACGGTTAGTGCACTCGGCTGCTAACCAAAAGGTTGGAGATTCGAGTCTATCCAGAGTTGCCTCAGAAGAAAGCCTCGGTGATCTACTACTGAAAAATCTACTACTGAAAACTCTGTGGAGCACAGCTCTATTCTGATACACATAGGGTTGCCATGAATCAAAATCAACTCGACAACAGCTTTCTTTTTTTTAATTTGGCGAGAGCTGAAGCCTTTGATGATTGTTTATTGTGAATGATTTTTTTTTAAATTTATTTTGATGAGATGTTCTGTAAGGTTGTTATTCTTCTGGGGCTCATAGAGGGGCAGTTGCAGTTCTTTCTACACTTGAGAAAGAGGGTAGCATAGAATGGGTATGGACACCTCTGTATAAAGCTCCTGTTGGGAATTATTTCTACATTGGCCAGCTATTCTTTTTTAATGATAAGAGAGAAGAATTAGAGAATATTGTGCAGTGAGAGAAAATACTTGTTTAAGACTTGAATTTTCAATTGGCCCGATGCCATTGCTTGGAGCTTTCTGTTGGGGAACATAAATATAAATAAATAAAAAGATTGAAAATGTTAACACAATGAGGCAAAGCCAACATCTAAGAAGCTAAAAGCCACTGGGCTGGCTTGGGTGAAGATTATACACATGCTGCTGGGGTTTTGAGAGTTTGGATGATGAGTTTTTTAGGAAGTAGAATTTAATGAAGGCCTATATCATAAACAGATCATTCCAGATGGAAACCTACACATAAAAAATCTTTTGGCCCTTCTTTGAAGTTATTGCCTAAGCCTATCAAGTCACATTTTTTTTTAACCTTGAAAGGAGAAATAGATAGAGTCAGAATATTAATCTGATAAGTAAATTAATGTTATTTTTAGATGATAAAATAAGTTTGTGCTGATAGCCTTCTGCATAAGTTAGGTCATAACCATTCCAGTAAAACGTGATGATGAATTAATTACAATAATATTTATCCTCATAACCTACCTCATGAGATTTAGGCACTTACTTGAACATTCAGTGAGAACCTACTTCTATGTTTTAGGAATTGCTAATCATTTATAATACAGTCTCTGCCCCTATGGGGTTCACAGTTCTGTTCAGGTTAAGGTAGGACCCAAAGGAAAGAGTAATTGCTTTCACTTGAGAAGGTCATCAAGATCTTCATGAAAGGGGATGGCCAAGCCGAGCCTTGAAAGATGTATGCTTATTCCCCCCATGAACTAGGAGGGGGCTGGAGAAGGCATCTAAGCAAGAGGCTTGAAATAGCACTGTGTTTCCAAGGGAGATGTAAGAAGTTTAGTCTGACTAAAAATAGAATTTGCTGGTGTTGTAGAGGAGGAAAGATTGTGCCTAGAGAAAGAGGTGGAGAGAGAAGTAAGAGACGAATCATGGAACACCTGTGTGTGCCATGCTCCATTCCAGGTCATGGAGAGCCTTCTGAAACCTTTTAGGTGTCATGATTAGAGCTGAGCTTTGGAAGGATCCTTCCTATAGAACTATGGTGGACACATCAGATGAGTGCAGTTCTGAAGACAGGAGCCCTGTTAGGAGACGCTTTCAGTTTCTAGGAAAGGAAGAGAGATTGGATACTTAGTTCACATTATTGAGGCACTGGTGAGGCATCCAGGATCAGATAACCAGTAGCCATTGGATGGGTATGTGCTCCTCAAAAGAGAGCTGCAGGTCAACTAGATAGGAGGATTTTTCCAGTTAGAGGTGGCAGGTAAGCATTATAAGTAGGCAAGAAGTGAAAGATTGGAAGAGGGCAAAGAAAATAACTCTAGAATTCATAAGGAATAAGTGAAGGAAAGTGAAGCCAGCAAAGAAGCCTGGAAAGTGGCTGTCCTTGAGGAGGGAGAAGGACCAAGGGGGAGTGTTGTCAAGAGCCAGGGGAGGAGAGAGTTTCAAAAAGAATGACATATAACAAGTGAATGAAACTATGCTTATTGTCATCAGTCATTAGGGAAATTCAGATCAGAATCACAACGTGATACCCCTTCACACTGTTAGGTTGACCACAATAAAAAGAACAAAAGAAAGAAAGAAAAATAACAAGTGTTGGTGAGGAGGTGGAAAAATATGAATCCTCTTATGTTGCCAGTGGGAGTGTAAAATGGTGCAGCTGCTGTGGAAAACAGTTTGACAGTTCCTCAATAAATTAAGTATAGAATTACCATATGACCCAACAATTCCACTCCTAGGTATATTCCCCCTGAAATTGAAAGCAGGTGTTCAAGCAACAACGTATACACAAACATTCATAGCAGCTATATTCAGTAATAGTCAAAAGATGGAAACAACTTAAATGTCCATCAACAGATGAATGAATAAACAAAAGTAGTATAGCCATATAAAACCAAAAACCAAACCGACTCATAGCGACCCTGTAGGACAGAGTAGAACTGCTCCATAGAGTTCCCAAGGAGCAGCTGGTGGATTTGAACTGCTGACCTTTTGGTTAGCAGCCAAGCTCTTGACCGCTATGCCACAAGGGCTGCAAATCCATACAATGAAGTATTATTCACCTATAATAAGGAATGGAATATTGAAGCATACTGCAACGTGGATGAACCTTGAAAACATTATGCTAAGTGAAAAAAAGCAGACGCAAAAGACTTGTATGATTTTATGCCTATAAAATATCCAGAATAGGCAAATCCACTGAGACAGAAAGCAGATTATTGGTTGCCAGGGGCTGGGGGAAGGAAAGAATGGGGAGTGACTGCTTAATGGGTACGAGATTTCCATTTGGGTGATGAAAATGTTATGGACCTTGATAGTGGTGATGGTTGTACGTTGTGAGTACTTAATGCCACTGAGTCGTGCACTTTATGGCAGTGACTACTATGGTAAATTTTATGTTATGTGTATTTTAGCACAATAAAAAAATGAAAAAGAAGAAGGGCATGGTTAATCTTTCCAGCTGCTATGAAGAAGCGGAGTAAGATTAGGGCTGCAGAGTCCAGAGACAATTAGAGGGGCTTTGGTTACTTTTGCTAGAGCCAGTTTTTTTGGTTAAAGCAGAAATCTGATAACAAGGGATTGAAAAGACAGAATGAGAATTGAGGAAGTGGAAATAGAAAGTGAGTCTACACAGTCTAGTTTTCTCAAGGAACTCCGCTAGGAAGAGAAGGGGAGAGAATACCATTATTATAGATGTATTATTTTCATAATAGTGTCATAAGTTCATAATAGTTGGAAAGCTGTATCTATATATTGACTTATCTGTCTGTTCTTTCATATAGATTGGCTATGTGTGACTAAAAACGTGAATGATGTATTCTTCACTTCTATCTTCACAATATGGGTAAAATAAATGACGTTAAAGTATTCATTATTATTTGGAGATTTATAAAAGATAAAAGGGTTTATGATTTCTCAGTCATAGAGGAAGTACACCTCAGAGAGAAGTGGTATAATGTAGCATTTAATAATGTTATTCTCAAGCTAGATTGCCTGGGTTCACACACTGGCTCTGCCACTCAGCAGCTGTGTCACATTGGGCAATTACTTAATCTATATGTGCCTCAGTTTCCTTATATATATAAAATAGGGATAATAAGAGTAACTTCTTATTTAAAGTGCTGATATAAAGGACTAAAACAGTGGCTCATGGTAAACACTCAATAAACAAAACCAAAACCAGACATGCTGCTGTCGAGTCGGTTCTGACACAGGGTGACCCCATGT